AATTTGTTTTTAATGTTTATTTTATTTTTGAGACAGAGAGAGACACAGCATGAGTGGGGGAGGGCAGAGAGAGGGAGACACAGAGTCCGAAGCAGGCTCCAGGCTCCGAGCTGTCAGCACAGAGCCCGACGCGGGGCTCGAACTCGTCAACTGCGAGATCACGACCTGAGCCGAAGTCGGACACTCAACCGACTGAGCCACCCAGGTGCCCCGCTTTATGCTTTTTCTGTACAAATCTCTGTTCCCGTCTCCGAGAACTTCCCTAGGAAAAAAGCTCAAGAAGTTAAATTCCTTGGTCACAGGTTAGGAATAGTTTGCGTATTGCCAAAAGGGCTTTCTAGAAAGCCTGCACTCACTTAAAATGTAATTGCGTCCAACAATACGTATTTATAAATCGAGTGCCTACTACTAGGGGCTTGAAATACGCTGGTGAACAAAATGAATCTTTCACTCTAGCAATTTCACTCTTGCCAGCTGTGTGCTCGCCAAAACCAAGTACTACCATTCTTAAAAAGCCTCAAGAGACAAAAGGCAAAAAAAAAAAGAATGCTCCGGTCACTTGAATGGTGAAAAGGGGTACGTTGTTATTATGTCCTTCTGGATCTATTCGATTACTAGTGCAGTTGAATTCCTTCCCACACGTTTTCTAGCGAATCAGCCAATTGCCCTGTTTTTTTCTTTAAAAGCTTTTGGAAACCTTTGAAAATAATTTAAAGGAGGCAGGGAGTGTGGAAACATTAACAGACTGAACATATATCTCGGGAAAGAAGCAGCCCTCAGGTCAAGTACATAGGCTTTAGAAATTGATTTGAAGTCCAAGAGCATATATGATGCAACTCTCATGTCTGGAGACGGCTTATTAAGTAAGGCGCTCCCTCCCTATTCCCACAGAATTTTCGAACTCCCGGCTGAGACCTCTCCAAGGAGTGTTGTGACACGAGCCAGAAGGGGGGAATGCTTTTCCTCAACAATCCCGACATCCCACCTAAGAGCCCGCCTTAACATCAAATCTGCGTTGACAGCATTTACATTTTCAAGCCGTATCACTGCTTGAAGTTTTAAGCTGCACATGTTTTTTACCCTCTGCATGAGGTAGGACTTCCCTCAACCTATCATCCAGGGGAATACAGAGGCGTAGCAGGAAGGACATTGGATTGCGATAAATGGAAAATCATAAATCCCCCAGCCATCCATAAAAACATTTCCCCCACTTTTTAAACATTAAAAAAAAATTTTTTTTTAATTAAAGATTTTATGTTTAAGCAATCGCCACACCCAGCGTGGGGCTCGAACTCACAACCCCGAGATTAAGAGTCCCTTGCTCCACCTGAGCCAGCCAGGCGCCCCTCCCCCACTTTTTATATATAAAATATAGCACAGACGAGATGACACATAGCACTGTGTAAGTTTAAGGTCCACAACACACTGGCTTGATACATTTATACTGTAATGTGATTGCTGTTATAGCATAGCTGACACCTTCTGTCTCATCGCGTAATTATCATTTCTTCTAGCGGTGGGAACAATTAAGATCTAGTCCCTTAGGGGCCCGTGGATGGCTCAGATGGTTAAGCATCCGACTCTTGCTCTCGGCTCGTCACGATCTCACGATTCACGGGTTCGAGCCCTGTTGGGATCCTCTCTTTCTCTGCCCTCTCCTCTCTCTCAAAACTAAATAAACATTTTTTTTTTTAAATCTAGTCTCTTCACAAGTTTAATGTTTAAGATACAGTTCTGTTGTTTATAATCACTGTACTGTATATCAGATCTTCAGGACTTATGTATCTACTGGTTATAAGTATGTACCCTTACACAACATCTCTCCCCCTTCCCCACTCCCAGCATTCCACTCTGGGTCTTTTTTTGAGCTCAGTTTCTTTTTTTATTTATTTATTTTTTTAATGTTTGTTTTTTGAGACAGAGAGAGAGAGCGAGAGAGAGAGAGCATGAGCGAGCACAAGCCAGGAAGGGGCAGAGAGAGAGGGAGAGAGAAATCCCAAGCAGGCTCCACGCTGTCAGCACAGAGACCAACGCAGGGTTCTAACTCACAAACTGCGAGGTCATAACCCGAGCTGACATCAAGAGTCGGACACTTAACTGACGGAATCACCCAGGTGCCCCCAGTTCCTTTTTTTTAGATTCCACATTTTTTCGATATCACGCAGGATTTGTTGAGGAAAGAGAATCAGGGGTGAAGAGAAGGGCTTTAACTTACATTTTTGTGTCTTTCCATTGTTTGAATTTTATGTCCTTAAGCAAATATGACTTTAAAATATTTCAACAAGTGTACACTTTGTATCTCTCTTCATTAGGAAAAAAACCCCCTGATGAACCATTTATTATTTTTAAATTTCCCCAGTTTTGTAAAACAAAAATCTGTGTGTGTGTGTGTGTGTGTGTGTGTGTGTGTGTGTTTCATACGTCTGCAAAAATATAAACCAAACTGCTCATGCGGGGGCCCCATTCAAAGATTGTTTGGGGAGCTGGGAGAGAAAGAATGAATTTCATTTTTTTCCTATGCACTTCCGTATTGTTTAAGTTTGTTGTTATAATGAGCATGTATTACTGTTCTCCTTTTTATTTCACAAAAGTAATAATAAACCTTTTTTTTTTCTCCTGAGGCTAAAAGTGACATGAGCTCATTGCAGAAAAATGTAGAAAACTGCAAAGAAGAAACTAACAACCACAACAGTTAACATGTTTCCTTTTAGGTATCCTTTCAATGCATTTTTTTTTTTTTTTACATAGTTGAGTTTTCATGCTGTATCGTTTTGTATCTTCTTTTTCTGCCTCAAGATTGTAAGTATTTTCCCATGTTATGCATGTCCTAATAATATTGTATGGTTTTGTCACAATTCAAGTGGATTAATTGGCTATTTCTTAAAGTTTAACATTCAGGTTGTTTCTAGTTTTTTCATATTAAAAACGATTTTCTGGGGCACCTGGCTGGCTCCGTCAGCAGACCACGCAACTCTTGATCTGGGGGTCACGAGTTCAAGCCCCACGTTGGGCGTCGAGCTTACATTTTAAAAAATGGTTTTTTGGGGCGCCTGGGTGGCGCAGTTGGTTAAGCGTCCGACTTCAGCCAGGTCACGATCTCGCGGTCCGGGAGTTCGAGCCCCGCGTCGGGCTCTGGGCTGATGGCTCAGAGCCTGGAGCCTGTTTCCGATTCTGTGTCTCCCTCTCTCTCTGCCCCTCCCCCGTTCATGCTCTGTCTCTCTCTGTCCCCAAAATAAATAAAACGTTGAAAAAAAATTTTTTTTAAAAAAATAAATAAAAAATGGTTTTTTGATGAGCATCTTAGTAGTGAAATCTTTGTTTGCATTTCTAAGTGTTTCCTTGGCATGGATTCCTAGAGGTCGAAGTGTGGACCAAAGAGTAGATTTCTAGAAGTGGGATTGATAGAAAGTATTTTTATGAATGACAGAAGATTATATCAATTTCTACTCGAACCCAAACCCACCAGTCAGGAGATCATGACCCGAGGTGAAGTCACACGGTTCACCAACTGAGTCACCCAGGTGCCCTGAGACAAAACATTTTCCATATGCTTATTCACCACTGGTATCCCCCCCTTGGGTGGACGGACTACCTTTTCCATTTTTGCTCATTTCTGGACTAACACCTTATGGATTTTCTTATCAATTAAAACGAGCTCTTCCAAGATATTAACCCTTTCTCTGTCATTGGATGTAAATGAAAATATTTTTTCACAAGCCTGTTGTTTTTGAACAACAAATCTCGGCGGTAGATTTTTAAAACAAAAGATAATTGGAGTCTAACTACAGCCTTGTGCCCTCGGTTTAAGCCTGTTTTCCCTTGATTCAATCAAAGATCTCAAAGGGCCATTTCAGCTAACCCTAAATTTAGGTCTGTGGGGAAAAAAAAAAAAAGTGTGGGCCCGATTTAAGGATTATTCCGCTCATAGGTACTTTTAAATGATTTAAGAAGATGGGGTAGGGGGCAGGGATGGAAGCCAGTTCTCTCAAATCTCTTGCGTGTTGAGAGGGGGAGTAAATTACGTGCAAGCGAACAGTACCCTTGATGGAAAAGTACTGCTCTGGGCTGCAGATGTGTACCGGGCTTGGTTTTAATTATTTTCCCCCCTTCTCTCTATCCTTTCTTCCGCTCCGCCCCACCCCCCACCCCCGCCCCGGGCTGGTGACAGTAAAGAGGGCAGCCGGGTTAGGATTCTAAAGGGTATAGACAGGCCTTCCCCTGTTAGGCCTGCTCCAGTGCAGCCGGTTGGCCCAGCAATGGCAGGAGGAAATACCTAGGAAAGGAAGGGACCAAACTCAGGATCTTTCCAAACTCCCGCTTTCGTCTGGGATACAGCACAGGGAGGTGGCGACTGCCAAGGGTAGCTCGGCAGACTTCAAATAAAAGAACGCTGCCAACAAAGAAACTTTTGGTCATTATTCTGAGCCAAAAAAAAAAAAGAAAAAAAAAAAGCGCGTTAACCACAGAGGGTTGCTTGCTGATGCGCTGGGACTGAGCAAATCTCTGATTGCCGAGAATGAACTCAACGTAAATCCGGCGAGCCGATCCGTCTCCCCAGATATTGAGAGAGTTGTCGGACAGGGGCCCGTGCACCGACTGGAGCTACCCCGGGGGTGTCCACGCCACAGCCTCGGGCGGGGAGGACTGGAGAAGGGTCGTGGAGGAGAGTCAAAGGGGGCTCCCAAAGTGGAAATGGCTAGTCTGGGCCTCCAAGGTGCAAAAGGAGCTGGAGGAGAGAGTTTCCTTCCTGTCCCCCAAGAGAGCCCCGCGGCCCCGGGGGGGATGGGCGGGGAAAGGTGAGGCTTCAGAATGCAAGGCGGGGGAGAAGCCTGAAGCAGCAGAAATGCGGCCGTGCGCGGCGCGCATCAGGTGGCGGAGGGGGCCTCCGCCAGAGCTCTGCAAAGCCGAGGCTCTCGGAACCGGTCGGGGCGCAAGGAGCAAGCGAGGGTGCGGAGGAGGGCTGCGCGCTGCGTCGCGCTTAGCTAGAGGATGGCGCGACGATGGCGTGAGGCCGGGGCCGGGGCCTCGCAGGTAGGGCCGAGGCGGGGGGGGGGGGGGG